CTTTGCTCAAGGGAATTAGAGCTTAAAAATTATAATCTTTTTTTAGAGATTTGAACTCAACCTCTTATCACTATGCTACTACTCCCCCCTCCCCGCTAGAAGCTAGTCTATGTATTTTTGCATTGCACATTTTCAATGCCTTATTCGCTACTATTCTTCAAGCTTATAAAACTATAGATTGTCATCAGGAACTGTTTCGCCGAACTCAGTGATCTCATCAAGGCTCAGACGAAGTTCGATGTCGTCTTCAGCGATCTGACCGATACGCCGTTGACCGATGCCGATGAAGAGAAGCAAAAGAATTTTTTGCTATTGATCAATAAAGCACTTGAAATGGGATTCCAGGTGCTGAAACCTGGCGGATTTTTTCTCACTCATGTAAGTTTGCTTTGACAATAGCGTTGAGCATAGGCAATTTTTAGGACTTATACTACTTTTGTTTGTGGCAGTTAAATTCTTCGTAAGTTGGGAGAAAAAATATAGCATTCAACAAATGGTTCGAAAATGGTTTGTTCTTAAATTTTATTAAAACTTAATCCAATTCAAATTAAATCGAATCGCTGGGCTGACGCGTCTCGATATAATCCAGAGTGCAGGTTTCTAAGCGCCTAGGTATACATCTGCTGTTTCTACAGATCAAAAAGTCACACCTGTGATAGTTCAATGCAGTGCTTCCAGAAAGAAAGTTACGAAACAACCGCTACTTGCCAAACCGAGAAGTAGAATACCCTAGAAACGGCCAAGAATAACCTGGGCTGAAGGTCTTCAAAGACTTTGCTTTAAATTTGATTATCTTCTGCCCGAACTCAAACGCTAGCACAGAATCGAGAACGTTAGAAACACTTTCTGACGCATCTGCCTCTGCGACCCGAAAGAGAAATGGTCATTGAAATTGATGGACTGAGTTCATTTTAGCAAATTTTCATTATTCAGTTACATTTTATCATTTTAAAATACAGGTGTATTCTTCTTAGCGTCTTTGGGAAATGGCTATATATCCAATTTTTGCCAATATTAATTGAAATTAAAACTGAACTAAAGATAATATCAGAAAGAATGTGCTGAGTTTTGAAAAAAGAGGACTTCAGTTTTCCTCGTAAGCTCAGTTTTTCCAGCTTGTTAACTGAAGCTCTAAGGTTAAAACTTTATTACTTCATTGGGACGTTTTCTCTGATTACGGCAATATTCAGTGTAATAAACAGGAATCATCATACAGAAGAGAAATGAAAGGATTTACTTAATTTGTAAACAAATTGTGCCGTTACGTGAACGATCGAAAATGACATCTCTTTCTGATTCCTTGGTAGGCGACAAATAAGTTATGATTTATTTTACTTAGCGGACCAGTTTCGAAAGCCCGCATATCAATCGACATGAACTTAACATAGAGTACTAATTTGTATGTACACAAAACCTCTTGTTCAACACACTGTAGCTGCCTCCGTTACCCAAGAGTCTTCGAACGTCTCCTCCCCCAGTAAACAGCTCGACGATTCGTTTAATCTTGAATATCTTGGATAGTTTTTGGTCTACTTGTTTTTACCGCTGTCTTATTGTGTGAACATTTTTCTCACGGCAGGCGGTGACGTAGCTCGAGCAAGTACATTACTGTAGTTGCTGACTAAGTACCGGCCACCATTATGGTACTGAAAACCTGTTGTATTATGTCATGTTAAATAAATACTGAAGCTAATTAGATCAATAATAATTGTACGTATATAAATATTAGTAATAACTGACAGTATTGAATAGGTACTGAAAATATTAAATATATCAAAACCAAAATTTAAATTTTGCAACTTTTCAACAATATGCTGCTGAAAATGCATTGTATTATTTCGTGTTGCCTCTGTGAAATGACTATCAACGTTTAAAAAATGAATCGATCAAGGAAGATTTCTCACAAGTAATTTCATGGTTATACAGAAGATAACAACGACGACGTTATTGTTTATGCATCACTATATCTTTATCACTTCACTGTATCTTTTTGTAGTTAACCGGTGTCAACGCCAGAAAACATATCGAAAACTTTGAGGAAACTTTAAAGAGTTGGAAACCGTTTCTTCAGTTCCAGCGGTCACAAGCTATG